ATTGATAAGGACTATTATTTTAATGATAAAAATGAAGATTTTAGGTGTGTATATTTTGATTTTGAAAAAGCATTCGACAGTGTTTCACACAACAGATTATTTTTTAACCAATGGAGTTCTGCAAGTGTGTATTCTAGGCCCGATTTTACTTTCAATACTCATAAAAGATATGCCAGAGCGAGTTCTCTCTTCGCTTTGCTATCTGTTCGCTGCTGATTTAAAACTTCTTTCAATTTCATCTTCGATCAATTTTCAAAACGATATTGACAACGTTTATCAATGGTCTGTCGAAAATGGTCTTATAATCCATCCAGATAAAACAAATTTATTTGCAACATGCCACACGAGTACTTTCTTAACAGTCTAGTTATTGAACGTGTACCTTCTATAAAAAACCTTGGCTTATTTGTAACACCAAATCTCTCCTGGACCGAACACGTTAACATTAAATCTGGTAAAGCTCTGCGTTGCTTCTTCAGTTTAAAACGCAACATCTCATATAACACTCCAGTGATTACAAAACTTCAACTCTATATAACATGTGTCAGAAAAACTCTTCTTTTTAATTCATGCATATGGCAACCAAACATTGCTTCTCTTCGAAAAATGGAAAATGTACAACGCAAAGCAATAAAGTAGATTTGTGGATTAAATGAGTACAAAATATCTATTGTGTCTATTAATTTTTTTACCTATCTGCTATCAGCTTATCTACTCGGATCTTGTTTTATTCGGCAACATCTTACAAAACAATTACGATATCAAACTTGAGAATAATGTAAGTTTTTATTTTCCTAGACCTGGCAATCGCGCTGCACACAGGATTTTGTTCGATGTTCCGAAAGTGTGCAAAACTTCAACATGGGGGACATACTTTATCCGGACAACTGCTAATGCCAACATTGTGTCAGCAAAATATGGGATTGACCTTGGCCAGGAGAAACTCGCCAGTGCAAAGAGAAAACTCCGTGAATCCTTTTTAAATTTATCGATATCAGATTTCAACCCTGAAAACTCATGTACCTTTTTTTTATCAATTGTCGCTGTTTAACCTGTAGATTTTAATGCTCATACTTGTATCTCTGCCACCTTTACAGGGAATGAACACTTTTAGTAGTAGAAGTAGTAGTAGTAGTAGTAGTAGTAGTAGTAGTAGTAGTAGTAGTAGTAGTAGTAGTTTCAGTGTCTTGCAACACGTCGGTGGCCATTCTGACGCTGTTAGAGGCAGCCCCCAACGCCTCTGCTCCTCTATCTTTGTTTACAACAAGGTAGAGGGTCCACATTAGTCTCCCTATTCCTACAGAAGCTGTTCTGGAGGCATAACGTCACATTTTTATCCAGGTTTTTCTTCAACTTCTCTTCTCTTTCTCCCGTCACACTCACTTGTTCTGGACGTTCTTCTCACTGCGGTAGTCACTGCATTCCGATGGGTTACGAAAGCTCGCTTCAAAGCTCCTGCTCAAATTTCCAGCTGATAAGCGTCCTCGTACTCCTCACACCCACCGCTACGAAGTGTACTGTGTATCGGCTTTTGCACTTCGGAGCCAACGTCAATCCCACTAGGTATCGCGCTCCCGACGGTCTGCGATAAGTTTCACTCTGCCGGATGCTCATTTTTGCCTCAATCGCTTCTCCCATTTTCCAATATATTTCTGTTCGGTTTGCAACACTCCCGGAAACACGTCAGTGCTGATGGCCCTGACCATCTCATGATTTTGTTCTAGATTCAATGGTGACTCTAAAGAACCAAACATGCTGTAAAGTCCTAGTGCAGTCACCAGATTCACCTCAGTTCCTCCGTGGTAATCTGCAATCAATTCGAATTCCGTTTTTGCCTTCTTTATTATATTTCCGTACATTACTGACAATTGCTTGTGTTGCTTTGCCAAGGTCTTTGCACAATCGAGACCTCCACACATATGACCTTCAAGTCCACAGACGTTTGCTAGACAGCTAGCAGGTGTAACCCAGTCCTCTGGTCCCTAACCAGGCAACTCCACATTGTTCTCTTTGTCGTTCTTGGAGGCTGTCGTCATCAATTAATAAATGATGTTCAGGTCACGCAAGTTACAGTCTGAATTCAACTCCCTTTACACATCCTGTGTCGCGTGCACTATCGAATCAGCATTAGGACTCGGACACCATGATGGTTTCATCAATTCCCACACCACCAATAGGCTCGTTCTCAGTAATTCATCCGAGAATCCCGATCCAAATTCCACTCGGTTATCAGATTTTGGCACTGAAGGTGCAGTCACCTTTTCTTCCAACACACGTCGTACCAATTTATCCTGCTGATTGGCAGCGCTTCTTATCGTTGCCATTCGTGACAGCCATAATCTAAGCAACACTGCTTGCTCGTAATCAAAGAAACAATCACGTATGTTTTCATTGATGAATGGGTTGTATGCCATCCCTACGATTCCAGACACGTAATTATATTATTTCTTCCTAATCGGTCCGCACTACTCACTGGATTTCGTTAGTGCTTCCATTGACTCTTTTGTGAGCCTCAGCTTTTTATTTGAGAAACTTCGTATTTCATCGAGCTTCTTCATTGGTTTCAGTTCTGCAGGCTCCTTTATATTTACTCGCATCGGTTTGCTCTGATGTATGTCTATCAGCGCTTGTAAGAGCAAGGTTTTCGCTTGATCACTACCTTCTCTCAGCATCTTGGCACCTATATTCAACGCTGGCACTGATATTTGTTCTATCATGAATCGGACGAATCAGAGAGCGTCTCTCCGTTTCGCACACGCTACTGCCGCTCCTTCATGGGACATGAGGTCTCTTAAACTTGTCATCAAAAGCACCTTATCTTCCTTTGATCTTTTCTTTTCATCTGAGTCATATTCCTCCATTGTCAATCCAGTCATGCACCAAGCAAATCTAAGTTGTAGGTCAGTTCTGACGTAAGGTACCGCTATCAGAGCGTGTATTTTCGGAGTGGTTCTCATCTCTTCTTCAAAGTGACGTATTACCACCGCTATCCGCGGTAAGTTCACCAACTGGTATATCGTTTCTGCGAGCGGCTCAGAAGAGACCAACGTTCCGTACGCCCTGTGTTTAATCGTCGTGCCTTGTATCATCTCCTCCAGATAACCTTCCATGGCGCCTTTGTCTTCTAGAGCGAATCGGTGTCCTCTAGCCGAGTTTCTGCACTCCATCCTCTCCATGTATGCATCAGCGGGCTCGTCGATCAATACGGCTTCCGATAATGTCAATCGGTTATGCTCCACCGGGATCAGCTGTCCTATGACGCTTCCCTTTCCATGGTTCAAGCACGATGGTCTGAAATCTCGTAGGGTACTTTGCCCACACTGGCTAAGTATTTCCATCTCTAATGTCGCTCCAGTCAGAGTGCGGTCACTCCTCTTGGTTTTGTAACTGGCTGATCTCAATCCTGCCATGAGGATGGGTGGCACTTCTTCGACTCTCCGTGACTTCTTCGACCCGCTTTCGTTTGGCTGAGTTGACAGCTTTTACTGAGATCTCAGAGTTCACTTCCCCTTCCCAGTGTTTCATTTTGTCAATCAATATTTTCGATCGTATCGTGCCTTTTCAAGTTCTGGACAGGTATACTACTTCGATGCTGCCTTTCTGCTGCATTGGCTTTATAGGAGAAATAACTTCATTTTCGTCAGTGGCCGAATCGATCAACAACTTGATCAGTCTCCCTTCGCATTCATCCAATTTATCGAGAATCTCTCGCATCAATGGTCTGTTGAGACCTGTTTTCATTACAGACTAGGTCCCGTAGCACTGAACTACCGTCCAGACCTCTTCCATGAAGGCAACTCTGTCAATATTACACCCTGTTCTAATCTCATGGTCCCTGTGGTGAACTTCCCACTCTTCTTCGGGCAATGTTCCCAAGAAAGGTACTCGGGCAGAGCCTTCTATTCTTCTCCTCCGTGGTGACTCCGTCAAAAGTTTCGTTTCGATAGTTTTCGACTTACCAGCAGAGCTGCTCTCCGCTAAATTTCGGCTGATATTCATGAAGGCTGGCGGAGGTTCCAGCGTGGAAGTTTCATCTTCCGCTGGTTCAGTCGTCCCTTGTAACGTTTCTGTCCTGATCTCATGGTTGTCTAGGAAATTGAAGTCTAGGCTAGGCACTCCACCTGTCGAAGCCTTATCGTTGTCTTTTCCCGCTCGATCGGGATCCTGCTGCATGGGTTCTTCCGATCGACGTTCTTCTCCCTCCTTATCGCCTCGCTTCTGATTCGTACTTGAACTCGAAGGCCCTTGCTCCTCATTCCTCATCTCGTCCGGAAACTTTGGCACAACTAGCCTGCCAGCTGATTTATCTTCCTGTTCTCCTAGATTTATCGTGTTCTCTTCACAGCCGCAGGGCGATAGTGCAGTTCTAACCAACAGTTTCCAGCTCATCGCCAATTCTGGTTTCACGCTCATTACGATTAGCGTGGCTTCTCGCAAGTCCGCCGTGCCTCTCATGACCGTTGGTGCCAGGTTCGATTTCTTCCACTCTTCCTCAAATCTTCCAGGCTTCGGAGTGGCTGCATTACTCATTTGTCTCCTCGTCGACTCATCCGTGTGTACAAACTGACAAACTGCGTGTATAGCAGCACAGCAGCGTTTCTGCCCACGAAGCACAGGTCCATCGTTTCAGAGAACTTCGCCATTCTCTTTTCATTAGTTTCAAGGGCTCTTAACCTGGGAGTTTGTACTACGGAGTCTGCTCCGAGCAACATCCTCCTGATCAACGGGAATTCAGGTATT